ATGGGGGCAGTCGTATAACACCAGGCCGGGTTCAGCTGCCAGGGGAGGCCGCGGGAGGTGGTGCTGGGTGGTCTCTGCCAGCGAGGACGGATGGAGCCCCGGGGGGTTTGGCAGGGGGTCCCTGTCCCCTACCAGGGGGTGAATTGCTCGGGGCTGGCTGACCGCCGGGCTTTCCCGCAGGTACGCAGAGGTGGTGGTCGCCTCTGAGAACTCGGTCCACAAACTCCTGGAGCTCCTGCCCGGCAAAATCCTCAATGGGGACAAGGTGGAGGTGAGGCTGGCAACCCGGCAGAACCTGTCACAGTTCGAGGCGCAGGCTCGCAAACGTGAGTGAGGCAAAGGCACGGCGAGGGTGGGGGGGCCTCCGTGCTGCGCGCTGGGCCCCGCAGATCCCCAGCAGAGCTGTCAGGCCAAACCCACCGAGACCTCGGGGTGGGGGGACACTGCCAGGAGACTCTGGGGGTTGTTTCCTGTTGCTGCTGAGTCTGAGTAGATCCTGACCCGAGTCTTTATGATCCCCTTTTAGGTGCTCACACACTGCGAAGATCCCTCGTAGCCTCCTCCTCCTCCTCTCCAAACTGAATGGGCTTAAGCTCTTCAGCCTATCAACATAGCTAAGACCCTCCATATCTATTAGTAGCTCTTCTCTGGATCTCCTCCAGAATTTGTCCATCCCTGCGGAGGTAAGGTGCCCAACACTGGACGCAGTATTCCAGCTGGGGCCTGGCCGTGGGCTTTCTACAATGGCAATAGGTGGTCCTCGCCTCACTCCGCAGCGATGTGACGCCCCAGCCCCGTGCCGGGGGGCTCTGCGGAGCCGCAGGGACGGTCTTGGCAGGAGCGTGTCCGAGGAGGTCTTGGCCAGCTGTGGCCATTGTAGATCCCGTGGCTCGTTTCACACAAGGAAAGCCCTTCTTTCGAAGCGCCCTGGCCGAGTTGCAGTGGGGTAGCTGTGACCTTTGCACCCTCCCTTCAGCTCCAGTGCCCGCCGTCGTCGGCTGCTTGGCAGCGCCACGCGCTGTCAGACCGCGTCCCGACCTGCCCTCGCATTTCGGTGGAGCAGGGCGTGTTCCCTTCTCTCACCCCTTGCTTCGCCGGGCACAGGGAGCCTGAGTTTCGGCCTCTTCCCAGGGGCCTTGCCACCGGCACGGCTAAGCTCGCGTGAACCCTCGCTGCCGGCGCCCAAACAGCGCTCTGCTTGACGGCCGTCAGAGCGGCGAGGCCTGGCGGGGAGCCGTGGCTCCCCCGAGGGGCTTGGGCAGAGGTAGCGTCGTCCGTCGTACCTCTCCTGTTTCATCCTCGAAGCCTCTTTGGACGCAGCAGGGGTTCCTGTCCATCTCTTTGAGGGCAGACAGGCACTGAGTTTTCCTTCCTCCAGCACCTCCGTCGCTGTCGGCACTTGGGTTCTGTCCCCTCGTGTTCCTCCATGCTCGGGACTTGCTGAGCGCGTGTGCGGATCGTAGGCTCTCTGGGTTGTTTGAACGTCTTTGGGGTCTCGGGACCCAGCGACCTCCCTGCTGGGGACCTCTCGCCATTTCTCGTGGCTTTTCGCTTCTGTCCCTGTAACCTGCTTGCTCGGCAGCTTCCGCAGAGCCACGCTGGCCGAGAGCGAGCGTCCCCTGGGGCGCCGTGCGGGCAGCCAGGGTCTTGCTGGAGAGCTGGTACCCTCTTCGAGGCACATGGAAACGGAGGCTACGTTTGGCTGGCTGGATCTTTCTCTGGGCACCTCGAGCTCTCCCGAGGCCGGACCTCACGGGGCTGCGGGAGAGGATGGTCCTTATGCTGGTCATTGCGGGTGGGGAGGAAGAGGAGGAGGAGGAGGAGGAGGTCTCCGAGACCTGAAGGCCCTCCGGCGGCGACTCATGGCTCTTTCCTATACCGCTTGCAGGTGTGCCACCGAGGGCCCACTCCCGAGACTCCGTGGATTCGGTGGACGGCCGTGCCACGCCGACAGAGAACGCCTTGCCGCCTGCCCGCGTGGAGAAACCCCCTTCTGTCCTGCCTTTTTTCAACCGCCCCCCCGCTGCCCTGCCCCTCATGGGGCTGCCTCCGCCGCCCATGCCGCCCCCGCCGCCCCTCTCCTCCGGCTTTGGCGTCCCCCCGCCTCCGCCCGGCATCCACTACCAGCATCTCATGCCCCCGCCGCCTCGACTGCCCCCTCACCTGGCCGTGCCGCCCCCGGGGGCTGTCCCCCCTGCCCTGCACCTCAATCCCGCCTTCTTCCCCCCACCCAACGCGGCCCTGGGTCCTCCACCGGACACCTACGGCAAGGCCATGGCCCCCTACAACCACAGCAGGTGAGGCGGGGCGGAGGCGGGGGGGCCGCGTGCTGCCAAATTTGGGGAGGGGGCTACGCTCACCCCCCCGCCTGTGTCTGCTGTGCAGCCGGGAGCTCGGGCCGCCACCTCCCCCCGTGAGCGAAGTGGAGTTTGAGGAGATCATGAACAGGAACCGGGCGATCTCCAGCAGCGCCATTTCCAAGGCAGTGTCCGGCGCCAGCGCAGGTAACGGCGACGGCGTCCCCGCGTCCTCCCCCAACCCCATCCCGCGGCGGGTCCGCATCCCTCAGCCCTGCTCCGCTCCCCCCAGGCGATTACAGCGACGCCATCGAGACCCTCCTCACGGCCATCGCCGTCATCAAGCAGTCCCGCGTCGCCAACGACGAGCGGTGCCGCGTCCTCCTCTCCTCCCTCAAAGACTGTCTGCACGGCATCGAAGCCAAGTCCTACAGCACCGGCGCCAGCAGCAGCTCCTCCAGGTACCGACGGCGCTGGGGGTGGCTCCGTTGCACCCCGTTTCGGGGCTTTGCTCACTGACTCTGTCCCCAGCCCGGCAAGATCATCCCCGGAGGTGACCGAAAGCTTTTTGGTTTTTTTTTCCCCCCCTTTCCAGGAAAAGACACCGATCTCGGGAGCGCTCTCCCAGCCGGTCCCGCGAAAGCAGCCGGCGACACCGGGATCTCCTTCACAGCGAGGATCGGCACGAGGACTATTTCCAAGAGCGAAACCGGGAGCACGAGCGACATCGGGACAGGGACAGAGAGAGGGACCGGCACCACTGAGGCAGGTGAGCCAGTGCCGGGGCGCTGCCGTGCCGCGGTGCGGGGTCTCGGGGGGGATCTCCCTCGAGGAGCGAGGGCCGAGGTGGTGGGAAGGGTGCTTGGCGCTGCTCTGACCGCTCCTCTTGTCTCTCCCCCGCAGGAGTTTTGGCAGTAAGTGGTTTTTAATGGACTCGTATCTCCTCACCTCGACCAGGACTACGTGACCGAGGCCGCTCCACCCCCACCGCCCCTTCCCCGCCACCCCCAGCTCTCTCCGGGCGCCCGAGGAAAGCCGTGCCGCGCCCCGGCGGGACTCCCACCCACACCTCGTGGCCTTGGGGCCTGCGCCCTTGCCTGCGCTCACCGCTACTGCTGCCTCCCAGGGAGAGGCGGGAAACGCCTGTGCCCGGGCCACCCTGCTCCGCTCCGTGGACACTCGGACCCAAAGAGAAATGGTGCTTTTTTTTGTTGTTGTTCCATGGAGGGAGGTTTGTGAGCCCTTTCCTCTCCCAGGGTGGCTGGAAGGGACGGATCCCTCCCCGTGCCGTGCAGCGCAGGGACTTGGAGGCGCACGGCTCCCGACCCCGCGCCTGGGTTTGCCAGAAGCGGTACGGGGCCTTCTGCCACGTACCATCCTCTCGCCTCGTCTGGGGACACTCCTGTCCCCAGCGCAGGATGCTGCGCCACGCTCCTTTCCCGGTTCCGACGGGGGAAACGTCTCCGATCCCCTCCACGCACCCGCTCTCCCCTCGCCTTCTCCGTTCTGGGGAGAGGGGGGGCCGGAGCTGGGCCGGGGGGGGTCACCCCCTCCCTCCACCCCGACGTTCCCCACCGGCTCCCCCCCAC